TGGTCCTGATGCAACATCTCTCCATCCCAACCAATGCTGCACTCAGCAGCTGGAAACCCGCAGCGATATAGCCTAGATAAATAGAAGGTCCAATATGCTGCTCGCTGGGAATTTGAGGCAATTCAAAAGCTTCTGGGAAGACAATTTCCCCATTTTGTAAGACAGCAGACATGTTCCATATCACAGAAATCAGGACGAGTATCCCTGCAGGTAAGTTCAGCAGAGCTCCAAGGCTAAAAAAGGTTAACACAAAATCCTTATGTTTTCTGGGCTTGAACACGTTGTACAAAGCAAATGAAATTAATCCGAGGGCCACTGAATTCATGATGGAAGCTAATGCCATTAAATCTTGGGCAATAAAAATTTCCCTTGGGAGGGTTGGATGTTGCTCATTGAGGTCTTCGCAATGCCAAAAAGCGTTGCCGTCGTTAGAAGGGTCTTTCCAAAAACAAACCTGCCAGATTCCAATCCAGATGTTCCCAGAGCCGATTCCCTTGATGTTTTCCACACGCCACACTCTCCAGTTGGCAATGGCTATTGAGGCAATGCACATCATCCAGGCCAAAATATCCATCAGGAATGCACACAACTGGAGACCGGAAACTACACTCAGCCATTTGACCACCAGGTCTTTCACCCGCAGGGGGGTTTGGAGAGGCGGGGAGCAGGGGAGACCTTGGCAGACATCCTGGAAACAAAAGAGAAGACAAGATGCAGTGAGAGAGGGAATAACAAGCATGTCTAGTCATTGAAGGACATCCTCCCTCCTGCATTCTTCCTTCTATGCACAGAAAGAAGCAGCAAAAGAAACGAGTTCCCCTGCTCTCTCCCACCCCCTGGTGAGGTATAGACATCTGATCCAGAGAAGCCGACACTCATCGTTTCTTCCAGCACACTGCTACTGATTTAATCTACTGTTGCATTGTTCCTGGGAAAATGGCCAGAACCTCAGCAACCTGTTGTGGATGGGAAGCTGCTCATGATTCACTGCTCTGCTATCTGCTACTGCAGCTATCCTTTTCCACTGAGCCTAAACACACCTGATGGCATAGTGAGGAATGTTTAATCCATAAACTTACGTGAAATGCCTTCCTCAGCTAGAGTCTAGTGTGCCAGGAACAGAGCAGGTATTTGCTAGGTGCTCCTGAGCCTCAAGAAGACGGAGCTGTTGACCACTGAGCTGACGTTCGCCTGAGCAGCCAGCCAGCCACAGCAGCAACTGCTCTGCAGAATTCTTAGGTCAGTTACAGGCCAGTTAGAATCCTGACAACAACACAAATCATAACTCCAGGGTACTGGTCATTTGGAACATCAGGAAAGTGGGAAATGGGAGGGAACTCACTTCCCTTCTTTCCCAATGCAGAGTGTCTATTCCAGAACACTGTGCAGTTAAAACACGTTCTTCCTGAAGTCAGAATCAGAGCAGTTCCAGCAGTAAAACTGGTGATACAGTATGTGTATCTCAGTACAGATTTGTTTGATGGGCCTGAATGCATTTCATAAAGGATCTCCATGTACAAGAAAGGCTAATAGCATGAGAATTTCCTTGGCAAAATTATTGAAGACTCCTTACAAACCTATCATTCTTCTTCCCCATCCCATCTTGTTTGGACATTATAGTAAGGGAGAAGATCTTAGCTCTTTTCCTTTGCACTGGGACCACATGGAGTTTGTGCCATGGGACCCCATCACTCACAATAATCCAGGCAATACCATTTTCAGAACCTAGGTGTCCATGATTTAAAATCGCTTTCCTAAGACACTTCCGTCAAAATATTTGTGTTGCTTTCTTTCTGTTCCTTTCTGTGTTGATGCTCCGAATGTGAGCTGCTCAGCTGCATGCAGTTTCCACTGAAGTGTGTGTGTGTGTGTGTGTGGTTAACATTCGGCCAAGCAATGGGCCTAAATCCATGTATTTCACCTGAAATAACTTTGGGAGCCAGCCTTTAAAAATCTAAAGTGATATCAAATTCGGAGGAATTAAAAGCTGTCATCTTCTTGACTATTTTAAATATCTTAGAACATAGGTAAAGGTAAAGGGACCCCTGACCATTAGGTCTAGTTGTGCAGCAAATGGAGCATTAGAGTCATCCATTCATTTCAGGAGTTGTGACCATTGATAAGATGAAGCACTTTCACATCCACGTGGCAATGTGCAGTGCTTTTAAAAAGGTAAAGGACCCCCGACAGTTAAGTCCAGTCGCAAACGACTCTGGGGTTGCACCACTCATCTGGCTTTACTGGCCGAGGGAGCCGACGCTGGTCCACAAAAAACTTTTCTGGGTCATGTGGCCAGCATGACTAAGCCGCTTCTGGCAAAACCACAGCAGCGCACAGAAACACCATTTACCGTCCCTCCGGAGCGGTACCTATTTATCTACTTGCACTTTGACGTGGTTTGGAACTGCTAGGTTGGCAGGAGCAGGGACCGAGCAACGGGAGCTCACCCCGTCAAATACGCAAGTCCAGTTCTGTAGCTGCATGACATCCTCCACGCCCAAATGCTCTCCCGTACTGTTTCCCCCACTTAATCAGGATACACCATCTCCATTGAAAACTCTGCTCAGTGACACCCATCCAAGAGAAAAGTGCTGACCGTCTTCACGCAGATACAGTTCCGTGCAGGGGTTTGGCCGACAAGTTCTTCCCGAGTGTGGGGGTGTTTTCAGGGGCTCTTTGCTTTTCCCTGCCTCCCCTTTCATCCTCACCTGAGGAGATCTTGGCCATTCTCTTGACAGGGACCTCCGTTCTCAGGCTGGATTTCTGTTTTCCTTCATCCCTCCTTCTCCCGGTCTGGTTCACTGAGCAAATAAGACAGAGGAGGTCTCATGCGAGTCAAGGTGTGCAATGGATCTTCAGGGCATTTGGAAGGAAGAAAAGGTTCAGGAACAAGCGACACAGCAGCCCCCCAAGCGTAGAAACACATTTGAACATATCGCTCATGAGATTCGCCCCCCCCCCTTAGGATATAAATGCAGAACATCCTGCGCTCCTATTAAAATACAAAGTGGGGTATTTCATATGATAAGCACAGAGGAAGCTGCCTTATACGGAGCCAGACCAATTTTGAGAAAGTGCTACATGGGCCACTCCACCAATTGGCTATCAATGAGAACATAGCAAAACACAAAATGGCTGCCATATGGTGCGGTATGAAATAAATTTGCCTGGCTGTGGGGCGTGAAGGCCGCACCCTGCAAGACCCTTCCCACGTGGCTTAGGCCCAGACTTGCTAGCCCCACAAAAGAGGCTCCTCATGAGGCCAGAGGAACATGGCCTGGCTGTGGGGCATGATTCGAAACCTCCAGTCCCAGTCCAGTGCTCTAACCACTAGACCACACTGCCCCCCATTGCAGTCTATAATAGCCTGGAGGGCCACAGATGCCCCATATTCTCTGGCTCTGAGATTGCCCAAAGTTTCCTTTCTCTCCCTGGTTGTGCACAAAGAAAAATGCCCATGACAAAATGTGACATTTTTGGTTCTTTGGAGACAGTTCTGCTTCCTCTCTCTCTCTCTCTCTCTCTCTCTCTCTCTCTCTCTCTCTCTCTTCATTTAAAGGAGCCTCATCCCTTTTCCCACCCAACTTCCTCCTGCACACAGCTTCAAAATTTCCATGAAGAACTAACTAAATAACCAACCCATAATTGGAATTTATGAGATTAAGGAGATAAATTATTTTTATATAATGAAAATAGATGGGAGGATAAGTTAATTGCGCAAGGCGAGAATATATAGGATGGCAAAAAATTAAAACAAAGATTATGATTTGGTTTCTTAAAATAACACCAACACATGCCTCCTCAGTGGATTTCAGAACAAATGTCTCTCTCTTTTTTTAAATTACGCAAACACTGTAATGCAAGGAGTTGTAGTGACAATGCAGTGAGATTCTACTCAGAGAAAGCCTATTGGAATGAATGGGTTTGAATTAGTTGTGTCATTTAGTTTTTGCTTTTAATCTGGATAATACCTAATTAGGGGTAGGGATTGCTTTGCTTTCTTTCTGTTCTTGTTTTTATTAAGTATTTTGTTGGGTTGTTTTTGTCGTTGTTGAAATTCCACAAATTGCACATCAGGATTCGTTACATAGTAAGTCCCCCCCCCTTTCTATTATCTGCTTCCCATCCCACTTCCTAGGATGTTTCTTTCTTTTCCACCCTTAGCTGCAACTTATCTTCCCTCTTTTATATCGGAACTCTAATGCTCTATTGGAATTAAAAGATGGGCGGGGTCTAACTAAACTATTATTGTTGTCTTATTTATTTATTTGTGTTTTTATCTTGTATAAAAAATAAAAACCCCCAAAACCCAAAGTTGAAGCAAGAAGGCATCTTCAAATGTTAAATAAACACAAGCAGTGAATTGTCAGGACTTGGAAGCCCCCTGGTGATGAATTCACTCTTTCCACCCACCCACCCACCCACCCCCCTTTCAAAAATGTGCATGGAATGAAAGAGCTGGCATTCAATTCTATTCTTTTAAAAGCATATTTTCTATTATCATTGGGTCCATTCGGACAAATATTGGGTCCTTTCTCTCACTTTTGACCCTTCTTGATTCCCTCATTTCTGGGGGTTGGACTAGATGACCCATGGGGTCCCTTCCAACTCTTCCGTTCTACGATTCTCTCGCCTACAATTCCGACACCCGCTTCAGGTTGTACCAATCATACCAGCAGATAAACCACATTTTCTTCAGTTGATGGTATTTTTTTAGGGGGTAGAAAGGAGTGTGGCTTTGTTTGGGAGGTTTTTGTTAGGAAATCCTGACATCCAGTGGATGGGGAACGCATGACAGCTGACGTTACACGCCCAACATCCACTTAAAAGCCATATGGTGCCTTGAAACGCTTCCCCCAAAAGGATTCTGGGAGCTGTAGTGCTGAGAGCCGTTTGGAGACCCCCCCTATTCCCCTCCCAGAACTACCATTCCCAGAGTTCCCTGGGAAGTTGTGGGCATCTCTTTTGAGAGGCAATGGAGTGCGCCTCCGGGGGTGAAATCAAAGCTTTTCAGCAGCCGCTAGAAGGAAAAACGAAGGAGACGCCTGCGAGAAGCCAAGTCACAGGGAACCAGGCAGAGGCCTTCTCGGTGGTGGTGCCTTCTTCATGGTGATCCACTACTGCTTTAAGGGAGGTCTTGGAATAAGTAGATTTGTTGCTGATCCAAAACACCCACCCACCCCACTCACACATGAAAACAAAGACCACCACAGCCAACTACAAAGGAATAACCACACCCTAGGCCAACCCCAACCTCTCTCACCACCAAAGGAACACAAGCAAACAGCAAAGAACCTGCACAAACAACGCTGACACCAAACCCTACATACAGGAAGTAAAATAGAAAAATCGCCACCCCACCCCACCCCCACCCATCTCTTTCCCCTTTTCTTCCTAATTTCTCAACAAATGAAAATGATTTGTAAAAGTGTTACATGGGGGGGGGGGACATGAGAGAGAGAGACATTGCACACTTTTGTAAATCAACAAAATCTTTAATAAATAAATACATAAATAAATACTAGTCCTAAAAAAGAGGCCTCCTCACCTGAAGGACCTCAAAGCCCACCTGAAGTCCCAAAACAAAACTATCAGATCCTGATCCATGGAGATCCATGCGTGCATGGAGCGATCTGCGTGGATCTGCATCTGATAGTTTAGTCTTTACAGTTGAAGGGAATCACATGTATAATCGTATGTTTGGGGACATCAGGTGGGCTTTGATGTTCTTCAGGTGACCTTTGGGGTGTATGGCTTTCCTCCATCTCCACTGTGCAGGATTCCTCTGGAATGACAAGATCACTTGCACAGCTTTCCTCCATCTCCACTGCGCAGGATTCCTCTGGAATGACAAGATCACTTGCACAGCTTTCCTCCATCTCCACTGCGCAGGATTCCTCTGGAATGACAAGATCACTTGCACAGCTTTCCTCCATCTCCACTGCGCAGGATTCCTCTGGAATGACAAGATCTTCCGCATGGGTCTTCTCCATCTCCACTGCGGAGGATTTCTCTTGAATTACCAGGTCCAGCAGAGAACCACACTTCGAACAAGTAGTAAGACTCTCGCTTTTCACCCCACTTCCTGGGGTAATCACCACCACAGTTTCTATTTGAGATGTATCTGTTGCGGTGGTCCTGATGCAACATCTCTCCATCCCAACCAATGCTGCACTCAGCAGCTGGAAACCCGCAGCGATATAGCCTAGATAAATAGAAGGTCCAATATGCTGCTCGCTGGGAATTTGAGGCAATTCAAAAGCTTCTGGGAAGACAATTTCCCCATTTTGTAAGACAGCAGACATGTTCCATATCACAGAAATCAGGACGAGTATCCCTGCAGGTAAGTTCAGCAGAGCTCCAAGGCTAAAAAAGGTTAACACAAAATCCTTATGTTTTCTGGGCTTGAACACGTTGTACAAAGCAAATGAAATTAATCCGAGGGCCACTGAATTCATGATGGAAGCTAATGCCATTAAATCTTGGGCAATAAAAATTTCCCTTGGGAGGGTTGGATGTTGCTCATTGAGGTCTTCGCAATGCCAAAAAGCGTTGCCGTCGTTAGAAGGGTCTTTCCAAAAACAAACCTGCCAGATTCCAATCCAGATGTTCCCAGAGCCGATTCCCTTGATGTTTTCCACACGCCACACTCTCCAGTTGGCAATGGCTATTGAGGCAATGCACATCATCCAGGCCAAAATATCCATCAGGAATGCACACAACTGGAGACCGGAAACTACACTCAGCCATTTGACCACCAGGTCTTTCACCCGCAGGGGGGGTTTGGAGAGGCGGGGAGCAGGGGAGACCTTGGCAGACATCCTGGAAACAAAAGAGAAGACAAGATGCAGTGAGAGAGGGAATAACAAGCATGTCTAGTCATTGAAGGACATCCTCCCTCCTGCATTCTTCCTTCTATGCACAGAAAGAAGCAGCAAAAGAAACGAGTTCCCCTGCTCTCTCCCACCCCCTGGTGAGGTATAGACATCTGATCCAGAGAAGCCGACACTCATCGTTTCTTCCAGCACACTGCTACTGATTTAATCTACTGTTGCATTGTTCCTGGGAAAATGGCCAGAACCTCAGCAACCTGTTGTGGATGGGAAGCTGCTCATGATTCACTGCTCTGCTATCTGCTACTGCAGCTATCCTTTTCCACTGAGCCTAAACACACCTGATGGCATAGTGAGGAATGTTTAATCCATAAACTTACGTGAAATGCCTTCCTCAGCTAGAGTCTAGTGTGCCAGGAACAGAGCAGGTATTTGCTAGGTGCTCCTGAGCCTCAAGAAGACGGAGCTGTTGACCACTGAGCTGACGTTCGCCTGAGCAGCCAGCCAGCCACAGCAGCAACTGCTCTGCAGAATTCTTAGGTCAGTTACAGGCCAGTTAGAATCCTGACAACAACACAAATCATAACTCCAGGGTACTGGTCATTTGGAACATCAGGAAAGTGGGAAATGGGAGGGAACTCACTTCCCTTCTTTCCCAATGCAGAGTGTCTATTCCAGAACACTGTGCAGTTAAAACACGTTCTTCCTGAAGTCAGAATCAGAGCAGTTCCAGCAGTAAAACTGGTGATACAGTATGTGTATCTCAGTACAGATTTGTTTGATGGGCCTGAATGCATTTCATAAAGGATCTCCATGTACAAGAAAGGCTAATAGCATGAGAATTTCCTTGGCAAAATTATTGAAGACTCCTTACAAACCTATCATTCTTCTTCCCCATCCCATCTTGTTTGGACATTATAGTAAGGGAGAAGATCTTAGCTCTTTTCCTTTGCACTGGGACCACATGGAGTTTGTGCCATGGGACCCCATCACTCACAATAATCCAGGCAATACCATTTTCAGAACCTAGGTGTCCATGATTTAAAATCGCTTTCCTAAGACACTTCCGTCAAAATATTTGTGTTGCTTTCTTTCTGTTCCTTTCTGTGTTGATGCTCCGAATGTGAGCTGCTCAGCTGCATGCAGTTTCCACTGAAGTGTGTGTGTGTGTGTGTGTGGTTAACATTCGGCCAAGCAATGGGCCTAAATCCATGTATTTCACCTGAAATAACTTTGGGAGCCAGCCTTTAAAAATCTAAAGTGATATCAAATTCGGAGGAATTAAAAGCTGTCATCTTCTTGACTATTTTAAATATCTTAGAACATAGGTAAAGGTAAAGGGACCCCTGACCATTAGGTCTAGTTGTGCAGCAAATGGAGCATTAGAGTCATCCATTCATTTGGATGACAGTAAGAACAGTAAGAGCTGTTCGACAGTGGAATTTGCTGCCAAGGAGTGTGGTGGAGTCTCCTTCTTTGGAGGTCTTTAAGCAGAGGCTTGACAGCCATATGTCAGGAGTGCTCTGATGGTGTTTCCTGCTTGGCAGGGGGTTGGACTCGATGGCCCTTGTGGTCTCTTCCAACTCTATGATTCTATGATTCTATGATTCTAGGAGGTGTGACCATTGATAAGATGAAGCACTTTCACATCCACGTGGCAATGTGCAGTGCTTTTAAAAAGGTAAAGGACCCCCGACAGTTAAGTCCAGTCGCAAACGACTCTGGGGTTGCACCACTCATCTGGCTTTACTGGCCGAGGGAGCCGACGCTGGTCCACAGAAAACTTTTCTGGGTCATGTGGCCAGCATGACTAAGCCGCTTCTGGCAAAACCACAGCAGCGCACAGAAACACCATTTACCGTCCCTCCGGAGCGGTACCTATTTATCTACTTGCACTTTGACGTGGTTTGGAACTGCTAGGTTGGCAGGAGCAGGGACCGAGCAACGGGAGCTCACCCCGTCAAATACGCAAGTCCAGTTCTGTAGCTGCATGACATCCTCCACGCCCAAATGCTCTCCCGTACTGTTTCCCCCACTTAATCAGGATACACCATCTCCATTGAAAACTCTGCTCAGTGACACCCATCCAAGAGAAAAGTGCTGACCGTCTTCACGCAGATACAGTTCCGTGCAGGGGTTTGGCCGACAAGTTCTTCCCGAGTGTGGGGGTGTTTTCAGGGGCTCTTTGCTTTTCCCTGCCTTCCCTTTCATCCTCACCTGAGGAGATCTTGGCCATTCTCTTGACAGGGACCTCCGTTCTCAGGCTGGATTTCTGTTTTCCTTCATCCCTCCTTCTCCCGGTCTGGTTCACTGAGCAAATAAGAGAGAGGAGGTCTCATGCGAGTCAAGGTGTGCAATGGATCTTCAGGGCATTTGGAAGGAAGAAAAGGTTCAGGAACAAGCGACACAGCAGCCCCCCAAGCGTAGAAACACATTTGAACATATCGCTCATGAGATTCGCCCCCCCCTTAGGATATACCGTATTTTCCCCTCTATAACAGGCAGATTTTTTCTCCTAAAAAGGAAGGGGAAATGTCTGTGCGTGTTATTGAGCGAATGTGTGGTCCCTGGAGCCAAATGGCAAAAAAAATCAGGCAAAAATCAAATCGCGCGTCTCGGAGAAGGGAAACCTGAAAAGAGGAAGCGGCTGCTTTCCTGCATTCTGCCTCAGGGTCTTACTGCCCACCCCCTCTGTTTCCTTGCTGTGTTTGCTCAAACGGAACAAAGAGCAGGGAAAGCCCCTCCCCTCCAGGCAAGCAGAGGGGAAAGCAGAGGAAAACATGCAGGAGAGAGGGAGAGAGAGAGAGAGAGAGAGAGAGAGAGAGAGAGAGAGAGAGCTGGCTGGCTTGGGTGGGTAGGTGAGGGAAAACTTTTGCCTTCCTTTCCTCCCTCCCGTTATATCCCTCTCCTGCATTCTTAGCCAGCTGCTTCTCTGCACACCCCTCTCGTGCTCCTTGTCCATTCTGTGTTTTTCCTTCCCTCCCCACTTAAAATGTGGTTAAAAAGCATGGATCCACATGGATCCTCAGGATCTTTGCATTGGGTCACCCCAAATTCACCACCAGATCACATAGCATGTCCATGGCTACAGCCTGCCCCCCAAAAATCATGCACCCACTGTTGCCTGGGGCTGCAATGGTGCAAAAATGTGGTTAAAAAGCATGGATCCACATGGATCCTCAGGATCTTTGCATTGGGTCACCCCAAATTCACCATCAGATCACATAGCATGTCCATGGCTACAGCCTGCCCCCCCAAAATCACACACCCACTGTTGCCTGGGGCTGCAATGGTGCAAAAATGTGGTTAAAAAGCATGGATCTACATGGATCCTCAGGATCTTTGCATTGGGTCACCCCAAATTCACCATCAGATCACATAGCATGTCCATGGCTACAGCCTGCCCCCCAAAAATCACGCACCCACTGTTGCCTGGGGCTGCAATGGTGCAAAAACGTGGTTAAAAAGCATGGATCTACATGGATCCTCAGGATCTTTGCATTGGGTCACCCCAAATTCACCATCAGATCACATAGCATGTCCATGGCTACAGCCTGCCCCCCAAAAATCACACACCCACTGTTGCCTGGGGCTGCAATGGTGCAAAAACGTGTTTACAAAACATGGATCCACAGGGATTCTCAGGATTTTTGCATTGGGTCACCCCAAATTCACCATCAGATCACATGTCTGTGGCCACAGCATGAAGCACAAAAATGATACATCCACTGTTTCATTCAGAATGTTTTTTCCCTTGTTTTCCTCCTCTAAAAACGATGTGCGTGTTATGGTCAGGTGCGTGTTATAGAGCGAAAAATACGGTAAATGCCGAACATCCTGGGCTCCTATTAAAATACAAAGTGGGGTATTTCATATGATAAGCACAGAGGAAGCTGCCTTATACGGAGCCAGACCAATTTTGAGAAAGTGCTACATGGGCCACTCCACCAATTGGCTATCAATGAGAACATAGCAAAACACAAAATGGCTGCCATATGGTGTGGTATGAAATAAATTTGCCTGGCTGTGGGGCGTGAAGGCCGCACCCTGCAAGACCCTTCCCACGTGGCTTAGGCCCAGACTTGCTAGCCCCACAAAAGAGGCTCCTCATGAGGCCAGAGGAACATGGCCTGGCTGTGGGGCATGATTCGAAACCTCCAGTCCCAGTCCAGTGCTCTAACCACTAAACCACACTGCCCCCCATTGCAGTCTATAATAGCCTGGAGGGCCACAGATGCCCCATATTCTCTGGCTCTGAGATTGCCCAAAGTTTCCTTTCTCTCCCTGGTTGTGCACAAAGAAAAATGCCCATGACAAAATGTGACATTTTTGGTTCTTTGGAGACAGTTCTGCTTCCCTCTCTCTCCGTTTCTCTCTCTCTCTCTCTCTCTCTCTCTCTCTCTCTCTCTCTTCATTTAAAGGAGCCTCATCCCTTTTCCCACCCAACTTCCTCCTGCACACAGCTTCAAAATTTCCATGAAGAACTAACTAAATAACCAACCAACCAACCAACCCATAATTGGAATTTATGAGATTAAGGAGATAAATTATTTTTATATAATGAAAATAGATGGGAGGATAAGTTAATTGCGCAAGGCGAGAATATATAGGATGGCAAAAAATTAAAACAAAGATTATGATTTGGTTTCTTAAAATAACACCAACACATGCCTCCTCAGTGGATTTCAGAACAAATGTCTCTCTCTTTTTTTAAATTACGCAAACACTGTAATGCAAGGAGTTGTAGTGACAATGCAGTGAGATTCTACTCAGAGAAAGCCTATTGGAATGAATGGGTTTGAATTAGTTGTGTCCTTTAGTTTTTGCTTTTATCTGGATAATACCTAATTAGGGGTAGGGATTGGTTTGTTTCTTTCTGTTCTTGTTTTTATTAAGTATTTTGTTGGGTTGTTTTTGTCGTTGTTGAAATTCCACAAATTGCACATCAGGATTCGTTACATAGTAAGTCCCCCCCCCTTTCTATTATCTGCTTCCCATCCCACTTCCTAGGATGTTTTTTTCTTTTCCACCCTTAGCTGCAACTTATCTTCCCTCTTTTATATCAGAACTCTAATGCTCTATTAGAATTAAAAGAGGGGGAAACCCAGCCAGATGGGCGGGGTCTAACTAAATTATTATTGTTGTCTTATTTATTTATTTGTGTTTTTATCTTGTATAAAAAATAAAACCCCCCAAAACCCAAAGTTGAAGCAAGAAGGCATCTTCAAATGTTAAATAAACGCAAGCAGTGAATTGCCAGGACTTGGTTGCCCCTGGTGATGAATTCACTCTTTCCACCCACCCACCCCGCTTTCAAAAATGTGCATGGAATGAAAGAGCTGGCATTCAATTCTATTCTTTTAAAAGCATATTTTCTATTATCATTGGGTCCATTCGGACAAATATTGGGTCCTTTCTCTCACTTTTGACCCTTCTTGATTCCCTCATTTCTGGGGGTTGGACTAGATGACCCATGGGGTCCCTTCCAACTCTTCCGTTCTACGATTCTCTCGCCTACAATTCCGACACCCGCTTCAGGTTGTACCAATCATACCAGCAGATAAACCACATTTTCTTCCGTTGATGGTATTTTTTTAGGGGGTAGAAAGGAGTGTGGCTTTGTTTGGGAGGTTTTTGTTAGGAAATCCTGACATCCAGTGGATGGGGAACGCATGACAGCTGACGTTACATGCCCAACATCCACTTAAAAGCCATATGGTGCCTTGAAACGCTTCCCCCAAAAGGATTCTGGGAGCTGTAGTGCTGAGAGCCGTTTGGAGACCCCCCCTATTCCCCTCCCAGAACTACCATTCCCAGAGTTCCCTGGGAAGTTGTGGGCATCTCTTTTGAGAGGCAATGGAGTGCGCCTCCGGGGGTGAAATCAAAGCTTTTCAGCAGCCGCTAGAAGGAAAAACGAAGGAGACGCCTGCGAGAAGCCAAGTTACAGGGAACAAGGCAGAGGCCTTCTCGGTGGTGGCGCCTTCTTCATGGTGATCCACTACTGCTTTAAGGGAGGCCTTGGAATAAGTAGATTTGTTGCTGATCCAAAACACCCACCCACCCCACTCACACATGAAAACAAAGACCACCACAGCCAACTACAAAGGAATAACCACACCCTAGGCCAACCCCAACCTCTCTCACCACCAAAGGAACACAAGCAAACAGCAAAGAACCTGCACAAACAACGCTGACACCAAACCCTACATATAGGAAGTAAAATAGAAAAATCGCCTTTCCTAAGAAACCAGAGGCCTTCCTACTGGGCATTGTCGGCCAAATGGTGGCAAAGAAGGATAGAACTTTCTTTATGTATGCGACAACAGCAGCAAGATACTCATTGCAAAGCATTGGAGACCCAAGATCTACCCACCCTGGAAGAATGCAGATGCAACTGATAGACTATATGGAATTGGCTGAAATGACTGGCAGAATCCGAGACCTGGGAGAAGAGACAGTGGAAGAGGACTGGAAAAAGTTTTAAAGACTATTTGCAAAAATATTGTAAATTGTATGAATGTTAAGAGATGCAGGATAGAAAACAATTTGGCATTAGTAAACTAAGTGGAAAGATATATGAAAATAAGCTACTTTAAGAATAAGGTTGAATTATGATTAGCAGATGAAACTCAAATATCTAAGTATTTGAAAACAAAGTTCAAAATTTGGAGATAAAAATTTTTGGAAAGTATATAACAAGATTTTGAAAGAAGGTGAAGTACTACTGAATATAATTTTATAAACGGGAACGCAGGAAAGGGAGATGCGAGGAAGTCCAAAAGGAAGGTTATGGAAGATTGTTCAATGAAAAGTAATAATTTGTATTGTATCTGGTTGTGTGTGGTTAGTATTCATGTTTTTCTTTTCTTTCTCACTTTTTCCCTTATCTAAGTTGTGATGGTGATTTTATCATAGTTTGGGTTATGGTATGTGCTAAGACCTTTAAATAAATTTTTTTTTAAAAAAAATAAATAAAATAGAGAAAATCACCACCCCACCCCACCCCACCCATCTCTTTCCCCTTTTCTTCCCAATGTCTCAACAAATGAAAATGATTGTTAAAAGTGTTACATGGGGGGGGGGGGACATGAGAGAGAGAGACATTGCACACTTTTGTAAATCAACAAAATCTTTAATAAATAAATACATAAATAAATACTAGTCCTAAAAAAGAGGCCTCCTCACCTGAAGGACCTCAAAGCCCACCTGAAGTCCCAACAAAACTATCAGATCCTGATCATGGAGATCCATGCGTGTATGGA